CCTACGATTTATACTAAATTTATATTAGTTGGAAACTCTTAACATATATTCATTAATGATTAAATTAGTGAAAAAAAAAATTTATGGCTTTACACAGATTTGTTAACAATTGACGAAAAGAAGTTCATGAAGAATAACGAATTACTGATTGAAGGATGTGAAATAATTTTTAAACTTTAAAAGTATTGCCATTAGAAATTATTTGTTTAGAGAATAAATTGTTTAAATAAAAGCCTTTACCAAACTGTGTTGACGACCGTGCGAATTGCCGTTCACAGCCACCGCCAATGCTTATCACGCTTAGTACCCACAACGAAAGGTCATCTGTAGGGTCACTGTTTGAGCCGTATATAACCAGAAAAGTTTTGTTCTCAATCATTCAGTTTTGCTCCTTGAAGTGTTTTAGTTTCATTGTTAACTTCTTTTAGATGTTCTGTGGTTTGCCAATGATTTTAATGTAATTTTGTGGGCTCCAGGGGACCGTTGATCAATACCGTTGTAAAAGTTTTAGTCTGATAGCAATCGATAATCATATTTTGTATCGTTGTTATTGTTTGTTTCTGTTATTGTTATTGCTGTTTGCTTCATCAGTTTTCCAGCAGTGATCTTCGTTCTCTGAAGGAAAATTACTTTCTTCTAAAATTATTTCTGTACTTAATTTGGCTGCAATTTCCTGCAGTTTCTTTTTGCTTTTATTTTTTGATTATTTGTTGCTTACCGCAGTTATTATTCTAAAATTTTGCTTTATTTACTGCAAAAAATGAAGTAGCTCCTATCAAAGTTTCTATGGTTGATATTATAAAGTTTTGAAAACAGAAAAACCAAAACAGTCTGAAGACAGCAGTTAACAGTGTGTTTTAAAAATGAGCATTAAAATTTTGTTTTTCTTTATGTTGTAGACATTTATTTTATGTGTTAATATATTTCTCTTTCAATGATCACTTGTGCTCCAAAATTTTATGCCTTTTCCATGTCTAACAGTGTTAATTTGTGCATTTATTAAACAACAGTTAAACACAAATTAAGCTCTGCTGTTTGAATGAGGTTTTAAATTTGAAATCAGTTAGGTAAAAGTATTGCATTAGTGGATTTTTTAATCCTTTTCTTTTTTTTTTTTGTTTCAAGCTCAAAGGGAAATGTCATTTTTATTCCAGCGTTCCGTTTTGATTTCAAAGCAGAGACTGTTCACGGAGCATTTATATAGATTGTTATTGGTGGTCATAATTTGCTGATGTTGCAGCTTCGCAAATGCAGCTCAACAACGATTGTATCCTGGAAGTGTTAAGGCACACTGATCCATTTACAGTTTGCAAGGTTTCACGTACCTGTCGTTCAATGAAACAACTGATTGATTTGTACTATCGCTCGTTACCGCAACTCTCTGTTGAGATTGGGTCGGTAAACTTCACTGGAATGCCATAGACAGTTTCTTAAATTATGTAAATAAACAAATTTGTAAATTTTTTTACCTTGTTATTTCTTTTTTCAATAGTTCTAGTTGTAACCATTAATTGATGCTAGAATTGGCAACTAAAATTCTGTGAAACATTTCATAAAGACGGGATAAAGATTTATTTTATAGCGAATCCAGAATGACATGCACTTGAGCAGTTAAAAATTTTTGGATTGAAGCGGTGCTTGTAATTTCAGTTTACATTTGGATCTAGAAAATTGGAATTTGGAGTTTAATATCCGAGAAGGTAGGATTCTGCATAAAGTTTTGAAGTCTGGAACATTAGATCCCTCGTAAGTTGCATTACACTACCTTGTAATTCGGTTCTATCCTCTTTTTCTCGACTTTTGGGACTCTAGAGCTCCCTCCCCGATGTCTTCTGGTCGCGGGAAAGTGAAAATCACACTCGCTCCCAGGATTATTTTATCTGCACAAACGACCACCTGGTTGTGTTACTGTCATCTCATATCTATTCTTGTAGGGACTTCAACCTGGAAGAAGTCTGGAGTGGTTGTCGGTATACCAAAGTAGATCTGCTCATCATAATTGTCTACGGTCATCATGCCGATAAAAAACTCGTGTCAAAAGTTTTTGAAGAAGCCAGTAGGTGCCGAGCTAAAGATTCGTACGTCATGTGGAAGTGTGAAGGATATACGAAGGTCTGGATGAACATCTGCCTATTATTTTTTTTGGAGGGAAGAGAGGCGTTTGGAATGATAGGAGGTTGGGGATGTAAGACGTGATCTAAAAATTGATCTGAAGACTGGAAGATAGTTTTCTGTGTTTTTACAGCAGTATTCTCGTTTAGGACAAAAAAAATACGTAGCTGTTGC